TTTGTTGAGTTTCACATTAACCCAACATATTAACATTTCATGAGCACATAAATATTTAATGGTGACACCGTATATGCATATAATGTCAGGCAGAATTACAGCAATCAATAAGAATGCCAGAGAAATAGTTAAGGCACTGTGTATTGCTAAACAGCAAATTAAATGGCAATTTGAGTAATCAATATGTAAAGCAGCTTTGAAATGATCCTCAGACACAGTCTCTGCAGGCACCATCTATTAGAATTTGCTGTGCAAAATAAGGCAGAGCTGACATGTCACATTTCTGTGAGAAAGGATGATGGAAGGCCCTTTACTCCATCTAAATATCTGTAGGCAATTTTGACAGATACGGATCTTCAGTACGAAATACCAATGATAAAAAGAGAAAGAAAGAAAAAGGTTCTTATAAACACCCAAAGAGAAATCACTCCTGGTCTTGGCAACAGATTTCAGATTTACAACATTCATTATTATATCTGTAATACTCTTTTCACGACTTCGCGACTCATATCCTGTTCCAAAGTCAAACGCTATAAATACAGCTGGTAATGGCATGATTTTAATGTTATTTCCTTTGCCACTCTGGTTATGAAGGAGAAATAAGCAGGGAATGGACATGTTTACTTCATAAACTGGTGAAAACAATAGCAGGGAAAGAAACATTACACACAGCTCCAGACTGAAAATACTTCTGTATGTCTACAGCACATACAGCTGACTTGATCCACGTTTCCATCACAACAGTTCTCTTACCAAGGAAAGGAAAGGATTGAGGAAGTCACGAAGCCCACACACAACCTTCATTCAAACAGAGGTCTATCATTAAAGCTCATGAAGTGGCTGCACCCTATTATCTTCCTCCTCCTCCCCCTCACAAATCCACAGTGACTTGCATATCCACCAGACATTTCATAGCTGGCAGGTTAAATTTGCTTAGGGGAAACATACGTAAATGCAGACATTGCAAGAGAACCCTCGGCACCACAGAATCAGAGAATCATTTAGGTTGGAAAAGACCTTTAAGATCTGCAGAAGTCCAACTGACAACCCGGCACTGCCAAGGCCACCACTAACCCATGTCACTGAGTGCCACATCTACAGGTCTTTTTAAGTACTTGCAGGGACGGTGACTCCAGCCCTGCCCTGGGCAGCCTGTTCCAATGCCTGAGCACCCTCTGGGCAAGGAATTGTTCCTCAGCTCCAGCTAAACCTGCCCTGGGGCAGCTTGAGGCCGGTTCCTCTTGTCCCATCCCTTGTTCCTTGGGAGCAGAGACCAGCCCCCTCCTGGCTCCATCCTCCTCTCAGGCAGTTGCAGAGAGCGATCAGGTCCCCCCTGAGCCTTCTCTTCTCCACACTAAACCCCCAGGTCCCTCAGCCCT